CGCCCAGGCTGGAGTGCAGTGGCACGTTCTTGGCTCACTGCAACCTCCGTCTCCTGGGTTCAAGCAATTCTCCTGCCTCAGCCTCCCTAGTAGCTGGGATTACAGGCGCCTGCCACCATGCCTGGTTAATTTTTGTACTTATAGTAGAGATGAGGTTTCGCCTAGCTCAGGTCTGTAATCCCAGCACTTTGGGAGGCCAAGGCTGGCAAACTGGATTGCATGAGCCCAGGAGTTTGAGACTAGCCCAGACAACATGGTGAAACCTCATCTTTACAAAAAACACAGAAATCAGCCAGGCATGGTGGCATGTGACACTGAGGCAAGAGGATCACTGTAGCCCAGAAATTCAAGGCTGCAGTGAGTTATGACTGTGCCACTGCACTTCAGCCTGGGCAACAAAAGCAAGACTTCATCTCTCCAAAAAAAAAAAAAAAGAAGAAGAAGAAAAGAAAAGAAAAAAAATAGTTTACCAAACTTTCTAGTAGAAAACAATTTGAAGAAATTGCACTGCAGGTAGCACCACAAGCAAAAGGAGGCAGGGAGTGCACTGGAAGAGACGATGTACAGATAGAAGATAGAGTCGTCTGAGTTACACTCAAGTATCCCTTTGTTAAAACTGTACAGGTAAGGCTGGGTGCAGTGGCTCATGCCTATAATCCCAGCACTTTGGGAGGCCCAGGTGGGTGGACCACCTGAGGTCAGGAGTTCAAGACCAGCCTGGCCAACATGGTAAAACCCCATCTCTACTAAAAATACAAAAAAAAATTAGCCAGATGTGGTGGCGTATGCCTGTAGTCCCAACTACTCGGGAGGCTGAGGCAGGAGAATCGCTTGAACCCAGGAGATGAAGGCTGCAGTGAGCCCGAGATCGCACCACTGCACTCCAGCCTGGGCAACAGAGCAAGACTCTGTTTCAAAAAACAAAAACAAAAACTGTACAGGTAAGAAGTGTATATGTGTGTTTGTACATTTTACCTTAAAAAATTAACAAATGGGGAAAGTGTGGAGTGGGTAGAGGTAAAGATGAAACAAGGAAGGTAGATTTGTCACGGTTATTGAAGCTAGGTAATGAGTGCACGGGTGTTTAATATACTGCTGTTTATCTTGCACAAGTAATTCAAACCATATTCCCAGGATGACTCTAATTATGTAAAGTATAAATGCTACATGTATGTATATAAAAATACATATATACACACACATATATACATATATATACACTTTGAAGGGATTCTATCAAAATATTAAAAGTAATTATTGAATAATTATGGGATGACAGGTAATTTTTATTCTCCATCTTTTTAAGCCCTTTTCAGATTCTCCCACACAGTAAGGCAGCACTCTCTGAAAATAACTTGCATACATTTCTTAAAAATCAAACCAGTCATATTTAGCTACACTCAGAACTTCTGAAATAATCAAGGTCCAAATAACATCTGAAGGTAATTAGGATATGAATACTGCATTTATCAAAAGAATAATAAGAAATATGAAATTCAGGTTTTAAAACAAAAGCAACATTCTCTCCTACACACACATCCATCCAGACAAACGCTGTCCACAGAACTTGATGGTGGAAAGGCTCTCTGCCACGGTGGAAAGGCTCTCTGAGTTGAATAGCTGCTGCTAAGCACGTGTGGCTATGGAACAGCTGAAATGTAGCCACATTTCAGGTGACTTTGTAAAGGGTTCTTCCATTCACTTTAATCTTAATTGCCATACATGGCTAGTGCCTCCCATACTAGACAGCACAACTATAGGGAGAAAAAACAACCAAACAACAAGCACTGGGGTGTGCGGACACTGGGGGAGCAAGACCATTCAAATAAGACAACAAAATCCTGCTCGCGGGAAGTTTATATTGGGAAAGAAGTTTAATTTGGGAAAGAAGATATTAAACAGATGTACAAGCATATTCATGGTTCTATTGACGATTTTCCTCCCCCATCCAGTCATTCAGTCGTTTACTGATATTCTATATCCCCTCATCTCTCCCTGGTAGCTACCAAATCATAACTTTTACAAAGATGCACTGTAAGCTTCCTATTCTTTCTAGGTAAAGAGAGTAAGTGAAGAGTACCAACTACACTGAGAATTTTGGATTAAAACCGCATTAGCCACTAAGATACAGCCTAAATCCAATTTAGTTTCTCCTCTGCCTAATTCTTCAGCGGTAATTTCAGTTTCTGATTTGTGCTTTTCAAAGCTAGTTGGTCACCTTCCATCTTTTTCTTTCTTTTTCTTAATCTTTGTTCTTCCTCTTGTGAAAAAGTAAAAAGGAAAAGAAATTGAAGTAACAATTTATCAACAGCATGATTCCTTTAAAGGGATTGCTCCAGCAAGTAAACACACATTCATAATAAATAATCCTCTCTCTAGAAGCACCAATGACATTGAGGTTTTCTTTCTATTTATCCGGATATAAAGCATGTTCCCCTTTTACCTGGGTCACTAGGAAGCTAAAAGGCACACGTGCGCCTCACAAATGACTAACTCAACCTGGTGTTAATTCCTTCTTGTGTCTTCACTAGTTTCTGATATATATTTTTTTAACTGCCGAGATTCATTCCTACTTTTAATATACTTCTCCAAACGTTTTTCAAGATACATAAATAAAACAGAAATCATAAACACAAACTACTCGGACGGATTTCCCATCGGATTTCAGAATACCTTTTTAGGTCCAAATTAAAAGGGCCAAGATCCTTTTATCCTTTCTGAACTTAAAAAACTTGTTTAAACAAAATGTAAGCAATATCATATCTATACAGTGTGACTTTATTATACTTCTCCAAAGACCCATAAGATCTCTAGAACTGAGATCAGCCACATCTTTTATTAGTTATTTCCTATGTAGACTGGATTATCAATATAGTTCTGCTCATTTATTCTGTTTTAAATGATTACCATACCTTGAATTTTCTTGAAAATGTTGTGCTCTTAACTGGAAAGCCACAAACAATGACGATGCTATTGCCAATAACTGGTTCTTCTCGCTCTTGGTTAGCATGTGCCCTGAGGGAAATCAATCAACCAATCAATCAATCAATCATATATGTTAACATCTGTGCTTCTCTCCTATAGAATTACTAGTCATTCAAACAAGTATTTTATAGGGCATCTATTATGCAGCTCGGATTGTACTAGGCACTGGGGTGTGTGGACGTTGAGGGAACAATACCATTCAAATAAGACAACAAAATCCTGCCCACGGGAAGTTTATATTGGGAAAGAAGTTTAATTTGGGAAAGAAGATATTAAACAGATGCACAGAACAAAAACAATTAAAAAAAAAAAAATCCACACAGAGATCTCCAGGAAAAGCATAAGCTCCTCACATCTGCTTCTCTCTGTACCTTCCCAGCCCAGCTTCCCTGCTGAGGAAAGTGAGGATAGCGTGCAAGAAGCCCCAGTCCCTGGAGAAAAGGAGAGCGGCTGGTCAAGGACACAGACAAGGCAATGCTTTCTAGTGCAAAGATCCAAAGACTATCACGCCGTGATTCTTCTGCCTCTCTGCATGAATCCCAATCAACCAACCAATCTCTCTCCTCCTCTCACTCATACTATCTTCCTACCACTACACAGCTGGACCTGGAATAGTCGGCAGGCCGCGAAGGCCTGGGGTGAGTGACTGATTGAAGAATTTGCATAATTCTTCAAGAAGGTTGTGAGTCAAGGTAGGATTCTAATACTCCAGGGTCTATAGGTTAAAATGTCCCTTGACAGCTCTGTAACCTCATCACAAATCTAAAACTATTTATTTACCACAGTACTACATACAGATAGTAGAGTATTAAATAGGACAGTACGAGCAACTTGAATGCTGGCTCGTCAGCCATAAGGTGCTACTTTTACAGTCAACCCTCCATAGATTCAAATAACTGCAGGTTGAACATATTTGAGGAAAAAAAAATGTATTGTTGTCTGTATTGAACATGTGCAGGCTTTTTCTTCTTGTCATTTTTCCCAAAGCAATGCAGTATAACAATGATTTGTGTAGCATTTACATTGTATAAGCATTATAAGTAATCTAGAGATGATTTAAAGTACAGGGAGGATATGTGTTAGGTTATATGTAAATACAACACCAGGGACTTGAGCTTCTGTGGATTTCTGTATCTGAAAGGGTCCTACAACCAATCACCCACAGATACCAAGAAACAAATGTACGATTCAAAAAAAGAAAAAAAAAACTAGTTGCCTAAACTTATTTGGAAGAAATGAAGTAATTTAAACATTATGTCTAAAAATCACTCAAAATACAAATAAGACTAAAAACATTCAAAATTAAGATACAAACGCTTTCAATATCTACAGCACAATTTTCCACAGGGAAGTAATCTATCTGCTCCCTGAAGGGCAAGGAGAGCACAGGTAAGCCACCCTCTTTGAGATAAACCTAGACATTACATAAAACATAATACAAATAAGGGATCTACCAACTGGTTCTGGGAATTCAATCCTAGATCCTCACGATGGCCTAATAAACCATACTCTTACGGGCATTGCAAAGTTCCTCATTCTCCCCAGACACCTAAGCAGTGATGAAAACATCCCATATGATTACAAAATTACTCTATATGAGAAGTATTACAAAAATTTGGTCTCAGTCTTGTCAAAACACATAGTTGAGAAGAATAGTTCTCATAGCGTGACCTGCCAACAACTGGGAGTCCCCAGGAGTCCTTCCAAGGTCAAACGATTTTCATACAACTACTAAAACGTATTTGCTTTTTTAACTCTAGTTTTCTCAAGAGTATACCGCAGAGGTTCCCAGATCCAAGGGACACATATTGTGTGATGACATCACTGCTCTCATGTCAACACATAATAGATTTATTACTATTACTTTCAGAACAAATGAGTAAATATTTTCAAGTTCCTCAGTTTTAATTTATAATGTGACAAATATCAATACATATAATCACAAAAGCTCTCTGGAGTGTAAAAAGAACCAGTGCTTCTCAAACTTCACCAAACATCAGAATCACCTGGACTAAAGGTGCTGCGTGTGCTTCACCAGCAGACTGACTGGTAAAAGGTATGAGGGCAAGAGGTAATAATCTGCATTTCTAACAAGTTCCAGGGTGATGCTGATGCTACCAGTCAGCAGATTTCACTTTGAGTACAACTGTTCTGGACTGATATTGATCGAACTGTGTAAAGAAACTGTTTAGTAGTTCATGAAGCCAGCTTAATGTGTCATGTACAGCAAGACAAATTATCAGAGCACTTTAAACACAGTATTTTACATGACAATGTTGTGTGTGTTTATATGCGTGTATACTGTGGCCAGATGTAAAATGTATTTCTCATGGTGGTTCACAATCAAAGTCCTTTACAAGTCAGTTCTTTAGACACATATGCACAGTATATACCATCAGCAAGGGAAGAGGCAGTGCATTAGGGGAACCCATTCACTGCAAGATGCTCAATCAGTATTTCATCTAGTCTAACCAACTGTTAGTGCCCGGATCCAAGCAATATCAAGAGCGGTCTCCCAAATAAAATGGACCATCATTCATAACATCTCCCACGTAAACTGATATGATGCACGTCAACTTCAAGCATTTTATTGCTATTCCACTTCAAAAGGGGGGTACTCGGTTCCAACAGGCTCTGTATAAGAAGTCTGATCATAACTGACCTATTCTTATAACGATTCTAGCATAATGCTACTCCTGATCACAGGCCAGAGTGGCCTCGATCTCTGCAAGCTCCCCTGCAGCCTGATACTAAGTAAGGCGTGTCTTCCCTGGCTCTGACCTTTAGCTCCTTTTGAATGGTCTCCCCTGTTTGCCCTCTGGGGGCGGTGGACCAGTTTGGTGTTGAGTCAGACACACCGACACTGCATTCTGGGCTAGTAAGCTAAGGCAAATGTACCTCATTCCCTTTTCTGAGTAGCTTCTAATCTGTAAACCCTGCCTGGCTGCCATGAGGGGAGCTGGGAATGCATGCTGCCTGTTAACCTGCTGGAATGTAAGTCCCATGAGGGCAGCTCCTTTTTCTGTTCACTGATGAATCCTACGCACCTGAAACTTGGGGGCACAGTACGTATTTAAAAAGCTCTCCAATTCTTCCCACCCCTTTTGGCGAGTGTGAAAGTAAACCGAGTGCTGTAATCCAACACTTGGTTCCCCTCTCCCCCAAATCTGACGGAGAAGACTGAGAGGATGCTGCTGGGTGCATGTGGAATACAGGTGTTGAGGAGGCAGAAGGACTGAGCACTCCAGCCTCACATGCGGGACACATGCAGCCTCGAGCACTCTTCAGAGGAGCAAGTCACTTGCACTTGTTACAGGTCTAGATGGAGTTCTAAGGCTTTCTTAAACCCAGCTTGGAACGTTCACAGCACTCAAGCTTAGAGCCTCTACTGCGCTGTCAACGAGGCTGGGCACAGTGGGCTCTTCAGTGAGGACATGTCTGGAAAAAGCTGCAGCTCTTGGTTTTAAAAGCCTTAGGCTTTTTGACAATTTTACCTCTGTATTCCCAGAGCCTAGAGCACAACCTTTGATCCAACAGGCTCTATTAAGTATTTGTGACTGAAAGGAGAAAAACTTCCTCCTCACAACTATTACCTTCTTAAACTTCTGGGGACATAATTTCAAGTAAAAGTCCCAACCCGTATATGTTTATTATCTCCTCTCCTGTTCATTAAGCCATTAATTACTGGAGTTCAAAACCATGTAGCAGCACCCACAAGCTTTGTGACATGCCACTATGACCCTGATGCTACTGGCCACCCTCACTGGCATGATGCAGTTTTCAAGAAGCCTGACCTGCGTATTTCCCAAGTGGTTTTAAGTCTACCATTTATTTTAACAGCTATGCATTGGTTCCCATTAAATGTAGTGTTTTCTGGTTTTTCTGTGTGTTTGTTTTTGTTTTTTGAGACAGAGTTTTGCTTTTGTTGCCCAGGCTGGAGTGCAGTGGTGCGATCTTGGCTCACCACAACCTTTACCTCCTGGGTTCAAGCGATTCTCCTGCCTCAACCTCCTGAATAGCTGGGATTACATGCACATGCCACCACGCCCGGCTAATTTCGTATTTTTAGTAGAGACGGGGTTTCTCCAGGTTAGTCAGGCTGGTCTCGAATTCCCGACCTCAGGTGATCCACCCCACTCGGCCTCCCAAAGTGCTGGGATTACAGGCATAAGCCACCGCACCCGGCCATAGTGTTGTATTAAATAATGCGGATAGAGGTCCTGATTCTGAGCCAGGCCCGTTCTCTCTTTGTGGGCTATGGCTTGTTGACCATTGGCGGCTTTGTCTGTAGGGTAATGTGGCTGGACTATTTTGTTGGGGAATCTTTAGGTAATCTCACTGGGGGTTAGATGTTTCAAGGATCTTCTACTCTCATGTCTGTGCGTACCTGTGTGTCTGCCAGTATCCTGGGAACCAACTGAGGAATGAAGGCTGGGACAGGGAGTGTCACATTTAGTATGTCCATGTTCCCTCAATTCTTTGTCCTCCTGTGCCTGGTGCCCCTTTGTTTTTATCCTCTGCAGAGAAGAATCTGAAAGCTTTAACCAGGATGAGGGAGAGAGAGTCGCCTTACTCTGAAGAGTGAAGGAAGTGATATGGAGAAAACTTTACAGATATTTTAGGCCAGTAGTGCTCCTTTAGGAATTTCCCAGGGTACCTGGAGCTGATAATTATTGAGATTTCTGAAGGGTTCTGCAGTGGTAATGAGCTACTTCTCAGTTTCTCCATTGTCAGCTTAGAATTCAACTTTCTTAGGTTACTAAGTCAGTTAAGAATCATCTTTCAGTTTTTCATTTTACCAAATGCTATTCCCTTTCTTTTTCCTAGCGGGCTTGTGTCTTTAAAAAACTCAAGTCAGTAGATTTGGGGATAGGGCAAAAGAATGTGTATATTTTTAAGCTATCATCTTACCTCAAAACTGGTTAAAGTATTTTCTTTAGCAATTTCCTCAAAAGGAATATATATGGTAAAATAGTTCTGAATCCTTATTTAACTGAAAACAACTTTGTTTATATTGATGACGATATCTTAGCTGGGTATAGTACTCTTGAGTCAAATTCCTTCCTATGTAGCAGACACTATTCTAAGATTTCTAACTTCCAGTTTATAGAGAATGAACATAATCTCACTGTACATTCCTTGCATCTTCTTTCTTTTCTTCTGGAAGCTTTAAAAAAGTATTTTTTTATATGCCTAGTGGAGTTAATTTTTAAATTAATCCTGTCTGAATCTCAGTGACTCTTTCCAAGAGTACCTAACACTTTCTTAAGAACACTGAGAAAACATTCTCTATTATTTCTTTAAAAATATCCTTCATTCCCATTTTTCTTTTCATGGAACTCCTAGTATGCATTTATGTGTAAAATCTTCTGGATCTTCCCTCCATATCTCTTATCATTTTCCACATGATTTCATTCTCTTTACCTTTTTGCTACATATTTTGAGATACTTCCATTTATTCCTTTGAGTCACTAATTTGGATCTTAGTAGTGACCATCCTACCTTCCACATTGACTGCTGAATTGTTTTATTTAGAAAAATCACAGATTTTTAGTTCATTATGTCTTTCTCCTCTAATTCAGTATTTTTAAGTGTTCTTCCTATTTTTCAGTAAGCACAGTCATCTGCCTCCTACAACAGCAGCTCTAAAACTTAGCACCACCTGTCCTTAGTGAGTCTTCTAGGTCTTCCTCCCTAGATGAGTAATCCTTTTCCTTTTTACACCAGGGACTCTGCTCAATATGCAGGCCAAAGAGTCAGGCAGTGGTTTGCTGGTAAATGCTTAACAAACAACTGAGGTGTGTGGGAAGGAGAAAAGCCACAGGGTACAACCAATTTCCTTATAGTAAATACATTCTTCATGGCTGATTTCAAACCACCAACTTCAAAGGGGATTGGCTTATGAAGATGTGCACACATGGCTCTCACAAGTGCAGCCCAGCTCCCATGGAGAGTCCGTGGAGAGGTATTCCAATAGTCTAAATGCTACCTCATCCTTAAAGTCATTCTTGATTCCCTCAAATGGAACTGGGTTTTGGGTGTTTTTTGTTTTGTTTCGTTTTGTTTTCGTTTTTTGTTTTTGTTTTTGTTTTTGCTCTTCTATCAAGATACTTTGCTTACATCTTTACCAGGCACTTACTTTATCCTGTCCTGTAGTACAGTTGGTACTTTACATGACTATTTCTCTCATGATGTCAGCTCATTAAGAGCAGGTCAAATATACCCATCTTTGATTTTCTTCTACAGCCTACACCAATTATTTGTTGAATTAATGATTTAATTCAGTCCAAATATCATAGTAGTATTTTAAAAAGTGTAGACATACTTGACTAAATTCAACGGAAAAACAGGAGTATAATTAATTATATACTTTCTGTGTTGAATGAAATTTTTACCAGAAGATCTGTAACTTCTTAAAAGAAAGAGATAAATCTGACGATTTCTTTTGATGAGGCTCGAGGTTGAAGTATAGGAAAGTATCAGAGGAATAAGCCCAAAATGTTCATTATAGGCCAAATGAAATTATAGTTCTTAAAATATCTTCTTCCTCATATTCCATTTATTTTTCAGAATCAAGGGAAACAGCTTTTCAACATTCACATCTAAAGAAATGACAGAAATAATTTCTCATGTATCCTATTTTTTAATTTTAGAAGTAATCGTTTCAAAGTTTAACTCTAAGAATCTCTAGTAAAACTGTCTTAGTTTACATCCACATAAATGTGGGATAATAAACATATACAATAGAAAATGTTAATGCAGTCATAAAAATAGGTGCTTGCCTATGAATAGTGCCTAGGACAGCTGGACAGATGGGAAGCAGATGGGGAACCCCAAAGGGGCAAAATGACCTGGCCCCAAACATATGGAGAGGATCCTGGATTAACTGTAGTTACCACTTCCTGCGGTCTCTAGGGCACATATATCAAACAGTCAAAGACGATACAGTTTAATATATCTAAGACCTGATCTGGGGGGAAAATGGAGAATGAGAAATACTGCAATCTTTAAAAAAAAAAAATACTGCAATCTGAAGAAGAATGAGAGACAGTAACCATTCAAAGAACAAATGACATGAAAATAACGAGAAAATAAAATAAGAGGGAGACATTAAGAATGGCAAATATAGGAGTGTGTTTCTAAAATATTTAGAGGCAATATAACAACAAGTAGCAAACCCTGATTGAAAACATTTGTGATTTATGAATTTGAATCTCAGCATAACTCAAAGACTACTTAAATAGGAGTTGAATAAGCCTAGGTTCAATTCCTGGCATTAGTATCTTATTGGTCATTTAGCTTTACAGATATCTCAGAGCTCTAGTTTCCTCACATGTAAAATGAAGGCTGCAACTAAATAATTGCTAAAAGCAATGTATGACAATTTTTTAAATTGTGTTCCTATCTGGTCTAAGCATAAAAAACAAAATTATGGTGTCCAAGCTGTTAATTCCTTACCAAAAAAGAAATGTAATATATTATATGCATCACAGAAAACTGCAATACTTAGGTTTAAGTGCATTTCTGAGTTTGAAGGGGATCCCTTGTCTAGAGGATTTAGGATCCCTTGTCTAGAGGATTCTCTATTATTGCTAAAAGTCCAGCACATAGTAACCAACTCTGATTAGAAAATTTAAATGCCCCATTTTCTTCTTCTCTGGGATACTTTGCCATACATACATATATAGAGACTTACATATAAATGTGTATATGTGTATCTATATAAATACCCATACACGCATACATTTGTTCTAAAGGTTCTCTGTAGTTTTTCCCTGCTTTCTCCTTCTGCCCACTGTTTCCTGTCTTATCACTATCACTGAATTAGCCAGGCAGACATGAAAACATGCAAGTCCTAAGTCCACTTCAAAACGTACTACAACTTTTAATTAAAATTTTAGGAAGGACAAGAAACTAAATGTTAGTATCAAAATAGAAAGAACTGGTTATCTGGATACATGTATAAATGATTAAAAACATCCAAAGTAGCAGCCAGGTACGGTGGCTCATGCTTATAATCCCAGCACTTTGGGAGGCCGAGTCGGGCAGATCACAAGGTCAGGAGATCCAGTTCAAGCCTGGCCAACATGATGAAACCCTGTCTCTACTAAAAATACAAAAATTAGCCGGGTGTGGTGACACGCGCCTGTAATCCCAACTACTCGGGAGGCTACGGCAGGAGAATTGCTTGAAACGGGAAGGTGGAGTTGCAGTAAGCCAAGATCGTGCCACCGCACTCCAGCCTGGGCAAAAGAGCAAAACTTCACCTCAAAAAAAAAAAAAAAAAATTCCAAAGTAATCCTTTCTCATCAATACCATGGGTAAGATTTCTTTTTTTCATTAATTCAACAAATACTTAGTATCTATTACGTTTTGTGCTAGGGATAAAATGAAAAGCAATGACCTAAGGGGTTCTTAGCCTCATTAAACCAACAAATACTAAAAGAATAATCACGAAAGTATAAAACTACTATCTTGGTTGTATTTTATTTTGTATTTTTAAAATTCAAAAGTTTAGGAAAAACAACCTAATAAATCATTAGTTTTTGTTTTAAGATCCCAAATCAGAGCCATTCTTCATTTGCCTTAATACTAGTGATAAAACTCTATAACACTACAGTTTTAAAAGAATATTCAAATCAGTTATCTCTGTTGAGTCTTATGAAAACTCTGTATTATAAATTCTGAGTGGAAAACTGCTTTATAAATGCATTCAACAACTCAACGACATCAACTTGGCCTGAATCTATATATAGCTCCTAACATGAATGTGAGTCATTTTACATTAAAACACTTTAATGGATATAAAGAACACCTGGAATGTGGGACAGACTCTAACCTTCACACATCACTAGCTCATTAAAAATGTATGCAGAGGCTTTCACCTGAATAACATTTCTATTAAGTCTCATCTAAATCTTGTTTATCTTTCTATATCTTATGTTAACTATATTCTGAATGCTCACTAAAGGGTTTTCTCTATCTCTCACTTGATGAGCAATTTTTCTACTACCTGGAAATGCTCACTGAGAACTTTGCAGTGTTAATTTCACATTCCACTCATTACTTTATTCAAAACTTCATTTTTCAGAATAAAATCATCATCTTCCTAGATTTTCATTAATAGGACTAGAATCTGGTTTTCTGAAATATTCTGTGCTATTTTCACAAACATATCTTTTAACAATCACTTTAGAAGAGTTCCTTATATACTCACCTCAGTAGAAAATACAAATCTGATTTGATTTTCAGAAACCAAAAAGGTAGGCTAATCATCTATCTACATGTTTTGCTTCAAAACACTGGACTCATAGAACATTCCATATGGTTGAATTCTGCCCCCCACAAGACTGCAGATTATCACACTCATGAGTCATCCATAAATACTCAAAATCATGAATGTAAACAGTCTTGCATGTTCTAAAAATGCTAATTAAGTATAACATAAGCCAAAAGGCCTTAATTTCAAAATAGAATGAAATTATGTATTACAATAAAGTATAAAAATAACAACTTTAAAACACTAAAATATTTTTACTGCATACAAACCTTTGAAGCCATCAGGATACACGTCAGAGAGAAATTTGGTGCTGATGTCTCCTTTTACAAAGCGTGAGTTGATTATCACCTCTCGAAGTAATGCAATATTATGTGTAACACCTAAAAATAAAATGATATCAAATTGAAGAACAATGAATCAGTGAAAAATTGAATTCTGATAATGTGGGGAAATTTATCATCATTGTTCTATGACCTAGCAGAAACCATTCAAGAAACTTATTTCCTTGACTTCTATTAACAACAAAAAATATCTGAACTTGTGGTATCAATAAAACAGTAAATATAAACTTAAGAAGCTTCGTATTGCCAAGTCAAGTCAACAGGCTGTGTTAGGGTGGTGCAAAAGTAATTGTGGTTTGGGGCCATGAATTTTAAATCATCAAAACTAGGCTGAAACACATTTTTATCAATCAAAATAGGAACCATTACATCAGCTCCTTTTTCTCAGTAAGAAATAAGTTTGTTTATTCCTGTAGCGTAAAAATCCATGCTTTGGGATTTGGCGGACTCTTGGAGAGCATTTTTTGCATCCTGCTGGTTGTGGGAGCATTTTCCCTGCAAAAAGTTGTTGAGATGCTTGAAGTGGTGGTCAGCTGGTAAGAGGTCAGGTGAATATGCCGGATGAGGCAAAACTTCATAGCCCAACTCGTTCAAATTTTAAGCACTGGTTGTCGAACGTGCAGTTGGGTGCTGTCATGGAGAAAACATGGGCCCTTTCCATTGACCAACACCAGCTGCAGGCATTGCAGTTTTGGGTGTATCTCATAGATTTGCTGGGCATGCTTCTCAGATGTAATGGTTTCACCAGGATTCAGAAAGCTGTAGTGGATCAGACCAACAACAGACCACCCAACAGTGACCATGACCTTCTTTTGGTGCTAGTTTGACTTTGGGAAGTGCTTTGGGGCTTCTTCTTGGTCTAGTCATTGAGCTGATCATCGCTGGCTGTCATATAAAATCCACTTTTCCTCACACGTCACAATCCAAAAAATGGTTCATTGCTGTGTAGAACAGGAAAAGACTACACTTCAAAATGACGATTTTTTAAATTTTCAGTCAGCTCATGAGGCACCCACTTGTGGAGCTTTTTCATCTTTCCAATTTGCTTCAACTGCCAAATGACCGTAGAATGGTTGACACTAAGTTCTTCAGCAACTTCTCATGTAGTTATAAAAGGATCAGCTTTGACGACTGCTCTCAATTGGTTGCTATCAACTTCCAAAGGCTGGCCACTAAGCTCCTCATCTTCAAGGTTCTCATCTCCTTCGCAAAACTTCTTGAACCATCACTGCACTGTATGTTCATTAGCAGTTCCTGGGCCAAATGCGTTGCTGACATGCAAAGTTGTCTCTGCTCTTTACGTCCCATTTTGAACTCAAATAAGAAAATTGCTCATATTTGCTTTTTGTCTAACATCATTTCCATACTCTAAATATAAAATAAACAGCAAGTATTAAGTCATTAGCAAAAAAGAAACAAAGCAAGAAATGTACATTAAAATGATGTATAACATAACCACATCTATTTAAGAATGTATTCCAATATCAAACAGCAAATTTCAGCAATGCAAAAACAGCAATTATATTTGCACCAACCTAATAAATGTCGTTACAATAAATGGTACTAGAACAACCAGCTAACCATTTGGACCAAAAAAAAGCCAGGCATGGTGGCTCACACTTGTAATCCCAGCACTTTGGGAGGCCGAGGCAAGCAGATCATGAGGTAAGGAGTTCAAGACCAGCCTGGCCAACACAGTGAAACCCCATCTCTACTAAAAATACAAAAATTAGCTGGGCGTGGTAGCAGGTGCCTGTAATCCCAGCTACTTGGGAGGCTGAGGCAGGAGAATCACTTGAACCTGGGAGGTGGAGGTTGCAGTGAGCACAGATCACACCACTGCACTTCAGCCTCAGCGAAAGAGCTAGACACCATCTCAAAAAAAAAAAAAAAATTAACCTCAACCCTAACACCTAACAACACAGACAAAAAATTAACTCCAAATGAATCACAAACCTAAAACTATTTTAATAACTATAATAGAAAATATGGAGGAAAAATCTGTTACCTTAAGGTAGGCAACAGATTCTTAGTACACAAAAACCATGAACTATAAAAATATTGACAAACTGTACATCATCAAACTTAAAGTCTGCTCCTCAAAAGAGGCAATTAAGAAAATAAAATGACAAACTATAGCCTGAGAGAAAATATTCACATTAAATATATTATTATTACTATATATATATATATATTTTTTTTTTTTTTTTTGAGACAGGGTCTCACTCTATCGCCTAGGTCAGAGTGCAGTGGTGCAATCTTGGCTCACTGAAGCTTCAACCTCCCAGGCTCAGGGATCCTCCTGTCTCAGTCTCCCAACTAGCTGGGACCACAGGTGCATGCCACCATGCCCAGCTAATTTGTTTTGTTTTGTTTTCTTTGAGACGGAGTCTTGCTCTGTTGCCAGGGTAGAGTGCAATGGCACAATCTCCGCTCACTGCAACCTCTGCCTCCCGGGTTCAAGCGATTCTCCTCCCTCAGCCTCCTGAGTAGCTGGGATTACAGGAACACGCCACCACACCCAGTTAATTTTTGTATTTTTACTAGAGATGGGTTTTCACCATGTTGGCCAGGTTGGTCTCTATCTCCCGACCTCGTGATCTGCCCGCCTTGGCCTCCTGAAGTGCTAGGATTACAGGCATGAGCCACGGCACCCGGCCGCCCAGCTAATTTTTGTATTTTTTTGTAGAGACACGTTTTTGCTATGTTGCCCAGGCTGGTCTCGAACTCCTGGGCTCAAGTGATCCACCCACCTTGGCCTCCCAAAGTACTAGGATTACAGGCATAAGCCACCAATTCTGGCCCACAATATATATATTGGACAAGGGAGTTGTATCTACAAATATACAAAGAATACTTACAACACAATTATAAGACGAAAAACCAACCAAGTAAAAAAAAAAACAGTCAACATGTCCACTAAGCATAGGAAAAATTGTTCAACATCATTATTGTTAAAGAAATACAATGAGCTGCCACCAGTATACCAATTTAGATGGCCAAAGTGAAAAGACAGATAATAGCAAGTGCCAGTCAGGATATGAAACAAGGAGAATTGTCACACTGTGGTGGCAATATAAAATGATACACATACTTTGGAACAGTTTGGTAGTTTCTGGAAAAGTTAAACATATACTCACTGATTCAGACAACTCACTCCTGTGTATTAAGTCAAGTTAAATAAAAACATATGTCTGTACAAAGACTTACATACAAAGTTTAATAGCAGCTTTATTTACTATAATCAAAACCTAGAAACAATTAAATCTCCATCAACAGGCAAATGAATTAACAAAAGTGGGTTTGTCCATACAATGGAATTCTATTCCACATATACACAAAAAGAGTCAATAACATATGAAATAACAAGGATGAATCTAAAAATAATTATGCTGAGTTTAAAAAGCAAGACCAAAAATAATGCATAATAATGTATAATTCCATTAATATAAAATTTTAGGACATGCAAACGAGCCTACAGCAACAGAAAGCAGATCATGCGATTACACTGGGAAAGGGGTAGAGGGAGGGTAAATGGCAAAGACCATAAGGAAACTCCGGGAGGTGAAAGAAGCGTTCAACACCATGGCTGTGGTAATGGTTTCACAGGTGGATATGTATGTCAAAACTCATAAAATTGAATACTTTGAATATTAGAAATTTATTATGTCAAGTATACCTCAATAAGTCATTTTTTAAAGATGCATGTAATCTAGTAGACAAAAATTGAGCCTAGTACACAATGACAATTTCAAAGTACAGGTGATGACTGAATAACATGAGCGTTAGGGGTGCCGACCTCCTGCACATACAAAAATCCACACATAACTTTTGATGCCCCCAAAAAAGTAAACACTAATAACATACTGTTGACTGAAACCCATGCTGAAAATATAGTCGATTACACGTTTCGTACATTATATATATTAAATACTGTAGTCTTGCAATAAAGCTAATGTTATGAAGCAAATCATAAGAGAAAATATGTTTACTATTCATCAAGTGGAAGTGGATCATCGTAATAGTCTCCCTCCTCCTCTTCATGTTGAGTAGACTGAGGAGAAGGAGGAAGAGGAGAGGCTGGTCTTGCTGTCTCAGGGGTTGCAGAGGCAGGAGAGGTGGAGGAGGTGGAAGGGGAGGTAGGAGAGGCGGCACACTCAGTATAACTTTATGAATATACTTTGTAATTTTTCTCTGCTTTTGCTTTTTCATTTCTCTAAAAATGTTTCTCTATGAGTTCAATCCTTTTTCTACTGTTTGTGTTAGTTTTACTGCCAGTATCACGGAAGGGTCTATGTCATAAAATAAGTCAACATCAGTCTTGAGTAATCGGAATCCTTCTGCCACACTCTGATGTGAGCCTGTTTTCTGGCATTGCTTCTTCTATGTCTTCTTCCTCATCATCTGGCGCTGATTCGGAAGCATTTATCTGCATCAAGTCATTTTCTGTTAATTCCTTGGGTGAAGTGTCTGTTCACTCTTGGATTCCTCTAAGATCCGTACCTTAAAACCCTTTACCCCCCACTCCACCTTTCATGTCAAATCCACAATCTCTTTCATGATTTCCTTGGTTGCCTCTTTCATAAATCCTGTGAAGTCATGCACAACATCCAGACAAAGTTTTCTCCAGCAAAAATTTTGGGCTTGACAGCTTTCACAGCTTTTTATATGACAACAATGCATCTTCAGTGCTGTAATCTTTCCAGACTTTTTCTCTTCCACGGTGTCGATGATCCTTTCCATATAGCACTATGGATAACGAGCCTGAAAGGTCCTTACAATACCCTGAGCTAGAGGCTGAATTAGACTTGTTGGGTTTGGGGAGAAGCAGGCCACTTCGATGCCTTCGATGTTAAACATGTGTTCTGGGTGGCTGGGGCATTGTCCATATCAAAAGAACTTCAGAAGACAGTCTCTTACTGGCAAGGCACTTCCGGACTTTAGGGACCAAGCATCAATGGAATCAATCCATAAAAACGGTTCTCACGGTCCAGGCCTTCTTGTTGTACAATCAGAAGACTGGCAGCCAGTGCGTATCA